CTGGCGATCTGGAGATTTGCCGAGAGGCGGCGCAGCTCTGGGAAGCAGGGGGCCTCCGAGCGAAAGTGGATGCCGCAGTCGCGGAGGTCCGGGAGGACTGCCGGAAGGGGCGCCTCAAGTGGTCATACAATGACGTGCAGCGGCTCATACACCAGTACGAGACGCATAGAGCCTCATATGCCGCGTTGAACGCGCTCGGAGAGGAAGTGCTCGGCCTGGAGCCAGGCCACGAGGAGAGCGACGAGGAGGGCGAGGAGGCCCAGGGAGAGAAGGAGGGCGATGAGGAGGGCGAGGAGGCCGACTGGGAGGAGGCTATGGCGGAGCATGGCTTGGAGGATGATGGGCTTCGGGAAAAGCAGGCACCTATGGGCTGCGTGGTGGTGGGCGCCCATGCGGCCGAGCTGGAGGAAGTGGCGACGTCTCTGGCAGACACGCTTCGCGAGGTGGAAGGTATGCTGCGCAATGTGGGCATGGAGAAAATGGCGCAACAATGCCGCGCAGAACAACGCAAGCAGAAGAAGTGGCTGCGAGAGCTGGCGCGGGAGGACGACGACCTCCTACGAGCGTTGACTGCCCAGCGAGACCACGATGCCGCAGTTGCGGCGAAACAGGGGCGCCCGGCAACAGAAGCGAACGACAGGGCGAAGGCCCTCCACGACATCAAGAAACAGATTCGGGAGGCCGAAATTGTTCTGAGGGAGAAGAAGGAGGCCGCAGTTGCGGTGGAGGCGGCCCTGGCTAACAAGTACGCCCTGGCCCGGTGGAACCCAGAGGAGTTTAAGGTCAAGAAAAACAGGATGGCTGCTTTGGACCGCTTGGCTCGCGGAAAGGGCGTCCTCTCGGATGAACAGAGGGGGGGGTGGGGTTGGTTCGAAACGAATTCGGGCGAACAGATGTGCAAGGAGCATAAAGAGCAATGGCCGTTGACGTTTGCTGGGTGGCTGCAGCGAGTCGCCAGCGACGCGGCGTCTGGGAATCGTTCGGCGCTGTCGCAGTTCGTGCACTCGGAGACTGCGAGGACCCTGGGCGGGCAAATGGCTCTGGTGATTCCCGCCATGTCCCCTAAAAGCCGCAGTTGCGGACCTGGGGGAAAACCGTCATGAGTCAAACTGAATGCAAAAACCGCAGTTGCGGACTCTCGACAGGTCTTGTCGCTGCGCGCCCTGCGGACGGGTGGCCCCAAGTGCGTTTCAATGTGTGTGGTGATGCGACAAAATTGTTTCCTCGCCCTCCTCCTGCCACTCCCCCGCCCCCCTTGTCTCCTCGTGCCATCCAACTCCAACGTGTCCTTCTGTCCTCCCATCTCCTGCCATCTATTCCCATTCTCCTTTTGGGCGCGTCGGTAGCCGCCGAGGCTCGACGCGGCGCCCGCGCGGCCGCCCGCGGCGACCATGTGGCCGCCTGCGCGTCCGGGATTGGCGTCGCAGGCGATGCCGCGCGGAGCTCGCTTCGCTAACACTGTGCACATCGACGTGGAGGAAAGCGAGGCCGCAGTTGCGGCAGATGACGAGGAAGCCGCAGTTGCGGAAGATGGCGACGACCAAATGACGCAAGATGGCGACAGTGCCGTCGCGTCCTCGGCTTCCCCCGCTGACGAGGCGGAGCCACAAGGAGATTCGGAAGCCGCAGTTGCGGCAACCAACGAGCCCTACATGCCGAAAGTGCTGTCGAATACGCGGGCCTGGAGGCGGGTGCATGTCATCGAGGCGAGCCGTGTGTCTGAGAAGGAGAGATCTGTTTACGAGGCTTGGCAGAAGAAAGCGCAAGGCGAAGCGGGGCGCATCGGCTTCTACGTGGCCAACTTCGGACAGAGCGCAGGGAAGCCCGCACAACGCAGAGGCGAGTTCGCGCATATCCACGCCAATCCTGCCCAAATTATCGCCCTTTGCGAGTGCGACGACGAGTGCTGCAGGGCAATCTCTGGGGAGAGCGACGCACGCGAGAGCACGGCCGCAGTTGCGGACGAGAAGTTCATGAACCGACCCCGATGCCACTACTTGTGCGCCAAGGGCGGGGAGCCTTCGGGGACCCTCCTCATCGGCCTCAGAGACCGCAGCGGCGGCCAAATTGATCACGTGGACTTTACGAGGCTTTTCCACAAGAAGGAGAAGTCGAAGCCGAAGAAGAAGAAATCCGCAGTTGCGGGGGTGGCTGCGCCAAAATGGCACAACAAGTAGTCGAGGGCGATGGTTGCGCGCATCGCCCTGGGCGAAACGTTGCCCCATTTGGGGAAATCCTTCAACGTCATGGCGGTGCACGCCCACCACAATTTGGCCAACCAAGATTGGGGCCCGAAGAAACTCCAGGAATTCTACGAGTGGTTCGCCGAGTACGACGCGAAGTGGGACGTCAAAGTCTGCATGGTGGACTTCGACATGCGCATGTTCCAGCTCGTGTCCTGGTGCCGCAGTCGCGGAGTCACGGTGGGCGTCGCTGCGCGGGCCCCCTGGAAGACAGCAGGCGGCCAGCCCAGGGCAGACAGTATGGCAATTCTGTTCATCAGTTGCCCTGGGAGATACGAGCTTCGGCATGGCCTGGGCGCCCTGCACGACGGCCCTGGCGGGTTCTTAGCAAACTCCCCTGGCGCCTCTTTGCGCACCTTCGATTACGCGAATGGCCCTGGGAAGATGCTGCAGACTTACTTGCCGAAGGCTGGTGCCGTCGCAGACAAGCTTCGCGACTTCGTGATGCCATCTAACGCCTCCGAGGCCGCAGTTGCGGAATTCGAGCCAAAGATGGCGCGCCGTGCACGGGGCGAGTGGGTGCCCGACCCCTTCCGAGTCAGGCGGGGCAAGCTGGGCGACGCGATCTGGGACGGCTCCGTCGGCAAGGCGCGAAACGGAGCGCGCTTCCCCCTGGTGGCTTTCACGCGCAACACGGGTCGCAGATCACCAGAGAAGGTTGCTGAGAGAAGTGAAAAGGAAAAGAAGCGGAAGCAAGAGAAAGGCGCTTGCAAGGGCGGCCAGAAGGGCAGCAACAACGGAGGTGACAAGGACACCGCAGTTGCGGGAAAGGGCGCCCAGAGTAACGCTGCCCACAGGGGAACCGCAGTTGCGGGGAGAACCGCTGAGGCTGAGCCGCTGGTATCTCACCACCCAGTTTGGGGGTTTGAGCCTCTAGGTCGTGTTCCGACCCCCTCCTATGCCGCAGTTGCGGCTGGGCCCTCTCGCGCCGGCGGAAGTGGCGCGTGGAGGGCGGAGGATCCCGCGAGGGAGTGGAGGGCGGGATGGCGCGCTGATGAGTGGTCGAGCTGGGCAGGATGGCGCGCTGACGAGCAGAAGTGGTGGGATGATAATCGCGCCGCAGTTGCGGACAATGCCACGGAGGGTTCGCCTCCTAATCGCATGTGGGCGGGCATGCCCGACCAGGCGCAGAACGCGGGCCACGCGGGGCCGTGGAACGACCGCGCTCCCTGGACCTACGAAACGACACGTTGGTAATGGCCGCAGTTGCGGGCAAGTGCAGCAGAAGGTTTGCGGCCGCAGTTGCGGGCAAGTGCAGCAGAAGGTTTGCGGCCGCAGTTGCGGACAGCGCTTCGTCGAGACAAGTTGGCAAATCATCATTGACGTCATCGCCATCTTCCTCATCGATCGCCATCGCCATCATCATCCTGCAGCTGCTGCCCCTCATGTCGCCTTGCGAGGTAAGCGTTCAAAGCAGTCCCAGGGGACTGCTTTGAAGACTGCTTTGTAGCGTTCAAAGCAGTCCCAGGGGACTGCTTTGAAACGACCTCCCGTCCTCATTATAAGGGCTTCTGGATTAGGGTTTCGTTGGGTACCATCCCAGAGATCCCAGGGTTCCCAATGGAAACACAGCGTTTTCGCATCACCGACGTCGCGAAATTTGTGATTTCATGGGGATTCCTGGAACTCTGAGCTTTGAACCTCCTGGGGATCCCAAGGTTGGTTTTGCTCCAGGGTGTGGAATCCAAGGAATCCCACGGATCCTTGTGACACCGCAGGGTTTCGTTTAGTATCATCCCAGAAGTCCAAGGAACCACCGTGACATCGCAGGGGTTTGTTGATGTCTCGTCTACAGGATGGCTCACACGCTTGTTCTCCCTTTATGTACAGGAAGCAGACGCTTGCATCTGTCACGTTAGCGCTTGTGGAAAATGTGCCGCTAGCGGATGCGGGGGAAGGCTTCAGCGAAGAAGAAGAATAATAAAAAGAAAAATAAGAGGCGCGGAGAGGGAAGGGATACAGGAGGGCAGCGGCACGACTCCAGCCTCGTGGAAAGGAACAGGCGTAGAGTGGGTGCTGAGGGGGTGCTGCGCCACATATATACATACATATATATATACACACATATACATATATATATATATATATATACATATGTGTATATATATATATATATTTCTCGTCCGCTTCCGCTCAACTGCACTCGCCTTGCGGGTGTCGCACGGAGTTGGCTAGATGTGCATTCCCCTTTCCGTAGCCTCTTTTTGCCCCCTGGGCACCCCGCCGTCGCGACCGCCGCAAAAGGGCCCCCGAAAGGACCCGCGGGGGGAGCCCCCAAGCCCCCGCGGCACCGAGGCGCGCTGGCGCCCCGAACCCTCAAGCATCAGAGGATAGGTATACGGGGGGAACGCATCGACCCCCAATCGTCCATTGATCGCCGACAGGGGCCCGATAGCCCCAACCTGCCGCGGAAGGTGCGGATTCACTATCGGGGGCTTATCGCCGATCTCTCGGCGATGCATCGCCGACTCCAGGTCGATGGCCCCCCCTTTGCCTATCCCCCTATCGCTGCCACTCAAGCAGTGGCCAGGCGTCCTGGCTTTGCCTGTATGTACCCACCAAGAACTGTTCTAACAGCCGTGTGTGGTCTGTGCACGACGCGTTCTTGGAGTATTTTTCTGGTCGAGGCCGCCTCGGTGAACCACAGCTGGTTTCTGTACTGCGAATGTTGTTTTTTTGTCCTTGGAACACGGCTGGGTTCTAAGAACATGTCGTGGTAGGCCTATAGGAATGCCGGGTCGGTCGGTCCCTGCTCAAGCCGAAGCGCGACCGCGCCCCTGGCCCGCCGCCCAGCCATGTGCGCAGACGCCGCCGGCACGGAGGCCGCGCCCCGTCGCACCCGATCCAGACCCCTCTCGCGTCGTGACAGAAACCAGCGACGGGAGGTTTTTCGCAATCCTCGGCCCCCGGGGAGCCTCACCGGAGCCGCGGGGCCGTCCAACACCGGCTCGGGAGGAAAGAGCCGGTCCCCGGGGGAATGGGCCGAGACCTCCCCAGAGATCCGACGTCGTGATTTTTTCAAGTCGCGGACCCCGGAAGTCTTGACCCATCCCCCAGGACCGGTTTTTCATCCCCGAGGCCTGGCGAGGGCCCCTGGGGGCCGAAATGTGCGAGAAACCTCCGTCCTGATTTTTTCAATGCGCTGGATCCCTGGGGATCTGGGGGTCGACCTCGCGAGGAAACGGTGCCGTCGGGGGCCCGGGCAGGGAGGAGGAGGGGGAGGAGGAGGAGGAGGAGGAGGAGGAGGAGGAGGAGGAGGAGGTGGAGGAGGTGAGGAGGAGGAGGAGGAGGAGGAGGAGGAGGAGGAGGAGGGGCCCGAGGCGCGCCCCCTGGCCGCCGAGCTGGCGCGGCGCCTGCCCGGCCTGCTCTTCGCGGGCGTCGACCGCTTCCCGCTGGCGGGCGGCCGGCGCCCCCCCGGCGCGGCGGCGGAGGCTTGGCGTCGCTCGGACGTGTGCATGTGTCCTTCGGCGAGGACCATCGAGGAGCATCCTTGATCACTTGGCGACGAAAGCCACGCACGAAACCGACAAAAAAGCACAGGGAAGGGACGTCCGGGCGACGGCCCGGAGGAGTGCGGCCGGCGCCCCGCGCCGGTCCCCGTGCTGGCCGTGCGGGCGCGGGCCGTCGGGGAGCTGCTGGACGCGGGCACCGCGGAGGCGATGGCTGCGCTGTCGCAGGCCGGCGGCGGGCCCGCGGGGGGGGGGGGGAGGCGCGGAGGAGGGGCGGGCCCTCTCGGATCGGGGGCGGAAGAGAGGGGGGTGATGACTGGGGGGGGGGGGGGATATCATGGCGGGGGCCATGATATCTCCCCAGATTTCATGGCGCCTCTTCGTATTTCATTACGTCCCTGGCCCCCCCGCTGGGCCGCGCACGTGCCGCCGGCCATGATTTGCACCCCCCCCTCTTGGACACCCCCCTCTTGGCCGCTCCCGATCGGAAGGCCCGCGGGGGCTTTCTCCCGGGCGGCGGCGTCGGTCCTCGGCGGCCTTCTTCCAGCCGATCGGGGGGCCGTCCGGCAGCCGCGCCCCTCGCCGTGGGCGTGCTGCGGGCGTGCCCGGGTCGCCCCGCGAACGGCCACTGGGGGCCCGAGGTATGGGCATGGCCCGGTGAAGCCATCGGCAGACGGGGCGGGCCTTCTCAGGAGGCTCGGGAGCCCCCCGGCCGTGGGGGCGGTGGGCTCCCCCTCCATGCAGCTGCGCGAGGGCAGGGGGCCTTGGGAGCGGCGGGCTCTCCTGCAAGTTGGCCCTGGTGTGTCTTGCGCCCGAGCTCGCTTGGAAAATGAATGATACCAGAGAAAAACCCAATCAGAACTTGGGGGGGGCTATGGGGCTTCAGGGCTTTAGGGCTATGGGGCTATAGGGCTATAGGGCGATGTGGCCATAGGGATATAGGGCTAGAAGCCTTTAGGGCTATGGGGCTATAGGGCTACAGGGCTAAAGGGCTATAGGGCTAAGGGCTATAAGGCTATTCGGGCTATAGGGCTATAGGGCTATATACGGCTATGGGGATTTAGGACCATAGGGCTATAGGGCTATAGGGCTATAGTGCTATGGGGCTATGGGGCTATGGGGCTATGGGGCTATTGGGCTATTGGGCTATTGGGCTATAGGGCTATCGGAGGTGAGGGGGTGAGATCGAAGTGGAACGGCGAGCCCCCCACCGGGAAATCGGTTTCGGTTTCGTGTTCGTGCGTGCCGTGTGTGCGAGGCGAAGCTGCGTGGGCGGGCGCGAAAAAGTCTCCTGTGGCTGAGGCGCGGCCGGACCAAATGTTTCTCTTCCGGGGCATGGGGCCCCGCGGTGTCCCGCCGGTGTCCCGCGGTGTCCTCCTGTGGCTGAGGCGCGGCCGGACCAAATGTTTCTCATCCGGGACGCGGGGCCCCGCGGTGTCCCGCCGGTGTCCCGCGGTGTCCCGCGGTGTCCCGCGGTGTCCCGCGGTGTCCCGCCGGTGTCCCGCGGTGTCCCGCGAGGATCATGATGAGATGATGATGATGATGATGATGATGATGATGATGATGATGATGATGATGATGCTGATGCTGATGCTGATGATGATGATGATGATGATGATGATGATGATGATGATGGTGTCCCGATGAAGATGATGATAAGGTTGATGATGGTGTCGATGATGATGATAGTGTCCCGATGATGAGGATGATGATGCTCATGATGATTATGTTGATGATGACGATGATGGTGTCCCGATGATGATGATGATGATGATGATGATGATGATGATGATTCCGATGATGTTGGTGATGATGATGTTGATGGAAATGGTGTCACGGCGATACTGATGTTGATGATGATGTTGATGATTATGGTGTCCCGATGATGATGCTGATGATGATGATGGTGATGATGATGATGGTGATGCTGATGGTGTCCCGATGATGGTAATAATGATAGTGACGATGTTGATGATGATGTTGCTCATGATGATAACGGTGCCCCAATGATGATGATGATGATGATGATGTTGTTGATGATGATGATGTCGATGATGATGATGCGATGATCATGATGATGATGGTGTCCCGAGGATGATGGCGATGTTGATGATAATGTTGATGATGAGAACGATGGTTATCATGATGGTGTCCCGACTATGATGATGATTCTGATGATGCTACTGATGATGATGATGATGATGACTGTGTCCCGATGATGATGATGCTGATGATGATGATGATGAGCTGATGACGGTGATGATGATGATGTTGTCCCGATGATGATGCTGACGTTGATGATGATGATGCAGATGATGATGATGATGATGATGATGATGATGATGATGATGATGATGATGATGTGTATGATGATGGTGATGATGACGGTGCCCTCATGATGATGACGATGTTGGTGATGATGTTGATGTTGATGATGTTGATGATGATGATGACGTTGATTGTGACAGCGATTGTGATATCGATAGTGAGATCGATATTGAGACCGAGTGTGAGATCGATTGTGTGATCTATTGTGGGATCGATTGTGAGATCAATTGTGATATCGATCGAATGAGATAGATCGAGTGAGATCGATTGTGAGATCGATCGAGTGAGATCGATCGAGCGAGACCGATAGTGAGATCGATACTGAGATCGATAGTGAGACCGATCGAGTGAGACGTTGGTTCCCCCCCCCGAACCTCCTTATCACCCGAAGGGTGGTCGTATAGGTACGGCTATAGGGCTATAGGGTTAAAGTGCTATAGGGATATATGGCGATTGGGCTATTGGGCTATAGGGATATGGGGCTATCGGGCTAGGCACCCCTGGGCACTTCTGGGCACCCGGGCACCCCTGGGCACCCGGGCACCCCATGGCAGGGCACCCCCGGGCACCCGGGCACCCGGCCCCGGCCACCGAAATCGGCCACACACCTGGGCACCTGGGCACCCCCGGGAACCCCCGGGCACCCGGGCACCCGGCCCCGGCCACCGAAATCGGCCGCTCACCTCACCTCAGCTTTATATCCGCTAGGACCCCTACAGAGGCAAGCTCTGATTGGGGAAAAAAAGTCCCTCTTGCGCCCGAGCTCGCTTGGAAAATAAAAAAAAGTCTCCCCGGCCTTCTGATAGGTTTTCTGAGCCCTCCCCGAAGACGTATGGGCATCTTTTCAGACGGCGCGAGGGCTTTTTGAGGAGACCCGCCGCCTTCGCAGCGGGCCTTCTCCTTCTCGCTTCCCCCCCCCTCGCCCGCCGCCGAGCAGGGGGAGCGGCGGCGGGAGACGGAGCCCCGGCGCTTGGAGCTCTGGCTGCCGTCGGAGCTGCTCGGCGGCAGCCGCGGCCCGGCCCAGCAGGTGGAGGTCTCCTGGCACGACGCCGCAGACTTCGCGGCCCTGCTGCTCAAGGGGAACCCCAGCGCCGTCGAGGCAGTCCGCTCCGGGGAGGCGCCCCTGCACAGCAGCCCGGAGTGGGCCGCGCTGCTCGCCGTGCTCGGCCCCGGCTGCTGCGAGTCGCTGCTCGCGGGCAAGGACTTGGTATCGCTCGGACGTGTGCATTTTTTCCTCGGTGGGGACCATCGAGGAGCATCCTTGATCATTCGGCGAAAAAACCACGCACGAAACCGAAAAAAACACAGAGAATGGACGTCCGAGCGATGGCGAGAGGACTACCGCATGGCCTGCGCGGGTCCGGCGATGAGCCTGCTGCGAGGCTCGCCGAGCGTGCTGGGCCCTGACCTGCTGCCTGCGGTGTCGGAGCTCTGTGAGCGAGCAGCGACGGGTGCCGGGGAGGAGCTTCGCGGTCGCGTCGTGGAGCTCGTCGCGAGCGGCGAGGCAGGGCGGGAGGCGTGGCAGGCCGCGGTCTCCGACCTGGTGAGGGCTGCAAGCAAGGCGCCCTGTGCAGCCAGCGCGCTGCCCGTGGAGCTCGTGCAGGGATGGGCCGACCGCATCCGCAGGAGCAGCTTCCTGTCCTTTGCGATGCAGATCACGGCGCCCAGCGCAGCCCTTCTGGCAGCACGGCAGGATGCGCCTGCCCTCGACCCCGAGTGGTTGTCGCGGATGGGGCCCGCCTGGCCCGCAGGCGCAGGGCTGGTCTTCATGGCGCAGACGGGCAGCTTCATGTACGACCTCCACACACCCTCGAGCGATTCCGACTTCAGCATCGTCTATGTTTTGCCGACGGACCAGCTCGTTGCGCGGGAGCCACCGGCGGTGGAGTTTCAGCACCACGCGGAGGGCCCCTTCGGCTCAGACAAGGCGGGTGAGGTAGAATACAGCGGGAGGGAGCTGGGCTCTTTCCTGTTGGAGCTGGCCAAAGGAAACCCGCGCAACGTGGAGCTCCTCTTCACGGAGAAGCCGCACCAGTACGGCGCGCTGTGGGGCGAGCTGCGCGCCATGCGCCAGGGGTTCCTCACGCTGCGCTGCGTCAAGCAGTACCTCGGCTTTGTCGCGGAGAAGATCCGCAAGGCCGCGGCCTTTTCCGAGGAGGGCGCAGGGTCCGCATTCAGCGCCGAGGTGGGCAGGAAGGTCTCGAAGAGCTTGTACCAGGGGCAGCACAAGCTCTACGAGCTGGAGCGCGTGCTGCGCGGCGAGAGCCCAGTGGTTGCTCTGGTTGGGGAGGAGCGGCCACACGCAAGAGCGACCCTTCGCCGGAGTGGCCTTTGGTGCGCGGCTCTCCAGTGGCGCCTGCGTGGGAGGAGGAGGAGGAGGAGGAGGAGGAGGAGGAGGAGGAGGAGGAGGAAGAAGAAGAAGAAGAATAAGAAGAATAATAATAATAAGAAGAAGAAGAAGAGGAAGAGGAGGAGGAGGAGGAGGAGGAGGAGGAGGAGGAGCCAACCCGAGCACACGGGCCGCTCACCCTTGTCGCACCCCAAGTTGCGATCGGCAAGCCGGGGGCCTCAGAGGCCGCTCTCGCCCAGCGCCGCTGCTGCGTGCTGCACGCCGAGGAGCGGGAGGCCGTGCTCCGGCTGCGCCGCCAGCCGCCCAGCAGCCTGGGGGAGGCGCGCGCGCTCATCGCGGAGGCGGAGGCGCAGCTGCGCTCCCTCAGCGGCAGGGCGAGGGAGGCCGAGGCCGCCGCGGCGCTGCCCGCCGAGGTGGATGCGCCCGCCCTGTGCGGCTGGCTGCGCGGTGTCCGGGAGCGGCTTGCGCAGCAGGCCGCTGCCGGCGCCCCCCGGTGAGTGCAGTGCGCCCGGCGAGGCCCTGGCTGGCACAGCCTCTAGAGGGCGTGACGAGCGGTTCAGCGGAGCGCCTGGTGTGTGTGTGTGTGTGTGTTCTGTGTGCACCTGGCTTCCGTCGATCCGACGGTGGCGTGGCTTTTCGGCGTCGCCTCAGCCGGTTCGGTCCCGGCCGTCGCTGTTGCATCAGGGCCGAACCTTGGCACTCCTCATCGTTCGGTGCACTCGGCGCAGCGGCGTGTACAGCTTCACGGGCGTGTTGTCAAAATCTGTGGGCATGGCGAGAGGAGGAGAGGGCAGAACAATCGGGATGACGGAGGGGTGCGGAGATCTCGAGCCAGGGGCACTTCACCTTATTTGATGGAGGTTCTTGGGGATGGAAATGCTCCGGACCGGCTTCATGTTGTTATGATAGGGCCCAGGGCGGACCAGATTAAAAGCCAGACCAATCACATGACCTATATTTGCAAGTAGTGGCAACCACCCGGATCGGGAGCGACGAAACCGAGACGCAGGGCTCCGATGGTTACGACTGGGCGTGCCATTACAACAGGGGGGCGGGAAGCGGAAACTCGAAGAGCAGTTTCCTGCATTTCGCCAGCAATGCCTCCAGCCTCTGGGACCCTTGGGCCTTGCCTGAGACGGCCCATGGACGACCCCATCGGTCGTTGAAAGAGCTAGCTTTGGACTCCCCGATTCCAATCTACTTTAAAGCGCCTTCCTACCTCAATGATCGAGTGGCTTCCCTCCTCCCTCCTCGTCAGGGGTCGGGCCAAGACCCAATCTACTTCAAACGCCTTCCTACTTTATGTTCCTACCTGCTTCTTCCGACCGATGGGTATACTTCGAAGAACAACATGCGGCATAAACAGAAACTGCTGGAGCTCCGAGCGGATTTCTTGAATCGGCTCTGCGCCCCCCCCCCCCCCCCCTGACGGCGCCTCCGGCGCGGCCCCTGGCGCACCCAGGGAGAGGGGTCCAGCGCAGATCCAAGAAATCCGCGCGGTCCTTCGACGATGTGTGTTTCTGCCGCTGCTGTTCCTCTTTTACTTTGGCGGAGCTGCTACCGTCTGCTCTTCGGCATCGGGGTGATGCCGGACCGCCTGCGCAGCCCTTTCTCGAACGGGGTGGCGATCTCTGCGAGGCTGTGCAAGTCCGTAGATGTACAGGGCTGGGGTCAAGAAGACATGCGAGTTGCACGTGCTGTTGGCGACCTTGTGTTTTCAAGCACTATGTGCGGGCACGTTGAATGATCTCATCGACAACATCTCTTTCTTCGGGACACACCGGATACTATTGCGCACTTAGTTATCATGTATCATTTCATGAGCTTGACCTGAATCTGACATTTCCGACTCGATTCAGTGGCAGAAGCGTGATCTCAATCAGGAGGCTCACGGGCTGTACAATGTGTCAATGGATTTCAATTGTTACGATGTGTGTGTGTGTGTGCGTGGCCAAATCTCGGAAAGGCCCTACCTTTTTTGATCAGTTCAGTCTGTGGACGGATGGGAGGAAACGTGACAGCGTTGAAGGAGGAATGCGAGTTTGTCCTGAGGGGGAGGAATAGAAGGGGAGGAAGGCCGTTTCCACACTAGGTCTTTTCCCCAATCATCCTGTGGTGTTGGGTCTTCGTTTTGAAGAGACAGCACCCCGCGTTCCTTCCTTCCTTCTTTCTTTCCTCCTCCCCCTCCTTCCTCCTCCCATCCTTGCCTCTGCACTGCGCATGCCCTCGTCGTCGTTGTGATCACCATCATCATCATCATCATCATCATCATCATCATCATCATCATCATCATCATCATCATCATCAACAACAACATCATCATCATCATCAGCATCATCATCATCATGCTCATCATCATTACCACCATCATCAGCAGCATCATCATCGTCATCGTCATCGCCATGTCGTCGTCATCATCATCATCGACGTCATGGTCACCACCGTTATCGTCACCACCATCGTCATTAATTTCGCCACACCTCTTACACGTTTCGTGGCCCCACATGGAGCCCCATCGAAGGCCTCAATGGCGGTGTTCGCATGCGCCTCCCCCACCCAGCACAGGGTTTCGCGACCCCATAGGGAGCCCCACCTGAGGCCCTAGTGGCGGTGTTCGCACGCGTCTCCCCCACCGAGGACAGCGCTTCGTGGCCCCACACGGAGCTCCACCTACGGCCCCAGTGGCGGTATTGGAGCCCCACTTACGGCCCAAGTGGCGGTGTTCGCATGCGTCTCCCCCACTCACGACACCTTTTCGTGGCCCCACATCGAGCTCTACCTGAGGCCCGACTGGCGGTGTTTACATGCGCCCCCCTGCCCAGGACAACATTCCGTGGCCCCATAGGGAGCTCCACCGAAGGCCCTAGGGGCGCTGTTCGCATACGTCTCCCCCGCCCAGGACAGCGTTTCGTGTCCCCACGGTGAGCTCCACCTACGGCCCCATTGGCGGTGTTCGCATGCGTCCCCCCCACCGAGGACAGCGCGTGGTGGCCCCACAGGGAGCTCCACCTACGGCCCCAGTGGCTGTGTTCGCATGCGTCTCCCTCACCCAGGACATCGTTTCGTCCGAACGCCCATGCGCGCGTGCTGGTTCTTTGTTACAAGTTGACAAATTGCGCACGCGCGCGTCGTGCGCATGCCAGAATCCTTGAAAGACCTTCAGCGTGGGAAGGATTTCAAAATCGATCGCCCCAGTAAAATATTGTAGCGTACCGTCTTGCAAAATCAGTTGTCACAACACCCCGCGCTCGCGCTTATGCGGATACTTGAGAAAACCATAGGTGTCCATCACTGTCACCACATTCTGCCGAGCGGGCCACTCGCCGCATGTCGAATTCATTCGAACGCCCTTGCGCGCGTGCTGGGATGGGGGGGGCACGGTCCGTGTCAAAGAATGCCGCGCGGGCCAATCGCACGCGTCGGCCGCGCGCGCATGTCGAACTCCTTGACAAATCATCGCCGACACGAGGACATCGTCACCATCGTTTCTTTCATAATCGTGTCTACCGTTGTCGGCGTCGCCATGGTATCGCGTTCGCCCAAGTCCCCGACTCACACTGAAGTGCCCGCTGGGAAGTGCCCAGCGGTCAGCGCCACCGCGGCCGCGTCGGTCTTGCCAAACTAGCTGGCCGCTGTGCGCGCGAGCATGCGCGGGCTAGCGCGGCCGCAGGCATGCACCAGCCGATGCCACTCGGTAATCGCAATCGTCGCCGCATGGGGTTTGCAAACCACGTTGCGGGTGGGCGGATGGGATGTTTGCAAGTGCATGGGCTGCGCCAACTTGTTTGCAAACACCAATTGTGTTTTGTAGAAGAAGAATAGACAGTACCCCCCCCCGGAGTCAACGGTACCCCCTGGGGCTTATTGCGAGTTCATATTTATTCTTCACACTCGCCCATCCTAAATGTGAATTCGTATTATCCCAGCCAGGCCGGTGTCCCTCCCCCCCGCCATCTTCTGCAACAAATACTATGCGCGCGCTCCCGTTTATCAGAAACCATCAGTTTTTTTCTAATCCCTTGGAACAGCATGGCACGAAGTGCACACGCGCGCGTCGTCGCGCGCGCATGCCGGAAGCTTTCAAGAACCTTCGATTTCGGAATGATTTTGAAGTCGCGTTTCCAAGCAAACAAGACATACAACAACACATGGTTTCGCAACACTGATGTTCTAAAAAAGCTTACGCGCGCGCTCTTGCGAAATCTTGAGAAAACCATCGGTTTTGCAATATTTCCAAACATACTAACAAACGGGCTTCGCGCGCGCATGTCGGAATCTGTCGAACGCCCTTGCGCGCGTGCCGTCGCGAGAATCCTCTTGCCAAAATCGGGACGAAATGCAGACGCGCGCGTCGTCGTGCACGCATGCCGAAATCCTTCAAAAACCATCGGTGTCGAAAAGTTTTTAAAATCGTGTGTGCAAAAAACAAGCAGAAGCACACGGTTTAGCGACACTGGTTTTCATCAACTGCGTGCGCGCGCGCGCTGTTGCGTCGTCGTCGTCGTCGTCGTCGCCGTCCTCCGTCCTCCCTCGTCGTCGTCCTCGTCGCCGTCGTCGTCCTCTGACTTTCCTCGTCGTCGTCGTTTTGGCGTCGTCGTCGGTTCCGTCGTCGTTGTCGCCGTGGTCGTCCTTCCTCCCTCGTCGTTTTCGTCGGCGTTTCGCCGCTGTCCCTCCTACTTCGTCGCCGTCGTCGTCGTCGTCGTCGTCGTCGTCGTCGTCGTCGTCGTCTCCCCTCCCTCGTCGTTGTCGTCGTCGCCGTCGTCGTCCTCCCTCCTCCGTCGTCGTCGTCGTCGTCTTTGTCGTCGTCGTCGTTTTCGTCGTCGCAGTCGTCGTCGTCGTCGTCGGCGTCGTCGTCGTCGTCGAAGTCGTGGGAGGCGTCGTCGGTGTCGTCGTAGTTGTCGGCGGCGTCGTCGTCGTCGTTGTCGCTGTCGTCGTCGGCGTCGGTGTCGCTGCCAAGTGCCATGTGGTACCCACCGTCACGGTCTTAAGAGGTCTTGCGACCCAGTTGCGGGTGTGCGGGTGGGATGTTTGCACGTGCATTGGAAAGGACAGCTTCAAGTTGAGCAATTGATTGGTTCTCCTTTTCTAAAAACAGAATAGGATTTCCCCCTGGAGTTATCACGTCACCTTTCGGGTATGTAAATCAAATATGATTCTGACCACACGTCCATCCCAAATATGAAATCACACTGTCGAATGCCAACCGGTATCCCCCCCCCCTGAGGTTCCCTTGTAAACAAAAACCGTATGCGGTGACATTTTTTGTTTTAACATAACACTTGTTCACCAACCCCTGGCAGAAGATATGACGAAGTGCACACGAGCGCGTCGTCGCGCGCGCATGCCGAAATCCTTCAAAAACCTTCGGTGCTGGAAGGATTTCGCAATCGAGCTTCCAAACGACACATACAAAAACACTGGGTTTCGCAACACTGATTTGCTAAAAAAGCTTCTGCGCGAGCTCTTGCGAAATCTTGAGAAAACCATCGGTTTGGCTTTCAATATTTTCACAAAATGCTACCAAACGGGCTTCGCGCGCGCATGTTGAAATCTGTCGAACGCCCTGCCCGTGTGCCGTCGCGAGAATCCTCTGCAACAAATGGGACGAAGTGCAGACGCGCGCGTCGTCGTGCACGCATGCCCAAATCTTTCAAAAACCATCAGTTCCGGAAGGATTTCAAAATCGTGTGTCCAAAAAGCCTACAAAAACCCAAGGTTTCGCAACACGGATTTTCAACAAAAGCGTGCGCTCGCGCTCTTGCGTCGTCGTCGTCGTCGTCGTC